AGGTCGGGTCTGTATCTTCTTTATCTGACAAGCCTTGAGATGCAAACCTCAGGACTGCAGGATCCAATATCAAGGGATAAATACGGATGCAACATCTTTGTTTGGCTTTTCTCCGCTGTCCCCTTCCCCAAAGCCAGTGGTTTTAATTTGTGGTCAGCCTGAGCCTCTTCCTCTTCCTCTCCACCCCACAAGGAGGTAGATAGAGAGCGTCCCAGCCTTGGCTCCAAAGTGTTGGTTACAATTTGTGGTCACTTTCAGTCATGGACACTCAATCATAGAATGGTTAGAATTGGAAGGGACCTTAAAATTCATAAAGTTCTAACCCCCCTGCCCTGGGAAGGGACACCTCCCCCCAGACCAGGTTGCTCCAAGCCCCATCCAGCCTGGCCTTGAACCCCTCCAGGGATGGGGCAGCCACAGCTTCTCTGGGCAACCTCTTCCAGTGTCTCACCACCCCCACAGGAAAGAATTTCTTCCCAAGATCTAATCTAAATCTCCCCTCTTTCAGTTTAAAATCATTACCCCTCTTCCTATCGCACCACTCCCTGATCCAAGAGTCCCTCTCCATCTCTCCTGTAGCCCCCTTTAGGTACTGCAATAAAGACCAGCAACCAAAAATAAGCATCAACTTGAGTAAGAGAAAGTGGAATAGGCTCACACCTAAAGGAGCCAATCCCTGTTGATGTCAAGGGCCCTTCCCTGACTCGGGCAGCGTTCCTGCTGGAAGATGAGCAGGAGTCAGGTTCACCTGCCATCTCCACCTCCTGCTCCATGAGACCTCACAGCTCATGGAAAAACAGTGTGAAAACAAACAAAAAAACCCTAAACATAAAAAACATAAAGCTGGGGCTGACAGTCATTTTATGAAGACAAAAGAGAGTAATCTGTACAGTCCCCAGGCTAGGAAGTGATCAGGTTTTGCCACAGCAGAAACAATCCCATGCAGTGGCACAAAGGAGAAAACACATTTCCATTCTCTCTATGGAGAAAACACATTCCCCAGCAAAAAGTCTAGAGAGGCTTTTTCTTCGTTAACCAGTAAGAGGGAGATCTTTCTGCAGCATACAGAAGGCAACGAGCCTCACTTGACATTGAAGTTTAACTCAAAATAAAATTTTCTGTGATTAAGGAAACTTTTGTTCTACTTCTGTTTCTTCGCCATCTGTGATACGAAACCTGGCAAAGACTCCAATTAGTTTCCTTTGTGTTATTACTGCCACCAGCACTCGAATGATAAACATTTATACGAAAGGAAATTCCTCTTCCTTTCCTTGCTGTCTCCTACAAGCAGATGAAAACCTGCACTGAACTCACCCTGAAACCTGGGTACACCAGATTACACCAACCACGCTACACAAAAAGGCAACAGCAGATCATAGAATTGTCTAGGTTGGAAGGGACCTTTAAGATCATCTAGTCCAACCATCAACCCAACTCTGATAAAAACAAAACCCCACATCTCTAAACCATGTCACCAAAAGCGACACACTAAAAGATTAAGTCAATCCAACACCCCTTCTGACAAATCTTTTCTCCAGTAAGGACCACTCAAGCCTGAGAGAAGGCGAAGCAGAAGCACCTCACACCAAGAAAGGAGAAATCCTGCAACATCTGCTTAAGGAACATCAGGGATGGATTTGGGGAGTTTTCTTCTCTGGGATATACAAACCCTCATTAAGGTTCTCAGAGCCACACAGGTGGCTGTGCTTCGCCTCAGCCAGGCGGGACAGAGCAAAATAAACTTACCGAAACCTGAAGAGCAAGTGTATAAATAAGCATGTAAACACACTTAATGGTGTGTATTTACTAACTTAAACTCTTCATTTATGTATACACACATTCGTCTACTGTTGCAATCCTAGATGGAACCCACGCATAGTTGTGGTTAAGATGTTAAATTTGATTATTCTGGCAAAGTTTATTTTGTTACCTTAAACACACCAATCCCCTTACACAGAGTTTGCACACTGGTACAAGCATACACCAGGATTAAGGCAATACGTTAATTTCTATAAACATAGATGCATAGGTGAAGTAGCAACATTTTTTTTCCACCTCAGGCAAGCTCTACAAAACCAGAATTGCTCGTGTTTCTGTCCAAATGGGTATGATCCATGACCAGGAGTACAACCTTGACTTTGGCATTCATTCAGGCAGTAATTTGCCAACAGCCCCTATGTCGAAAGGTTCCCAAATGGGTTTTGTGGATTCCTGAGAGGGGGCAATTAGATTCAAACAGAAGAAAGGGAAAGAAGAAATCTGACACATGGAGGACACATGGGGATGGATAAACAGATAAGTCAGATAAGGAAGGGGAGTTCACAAACTCGCACCAAACCTGAGGAGCAGGAACCAAGCCTTATCCCCATTTTTTTAATGCACTGCAGCCTCAGCATGGCTTTTCTTCCTGCTGCTATGCACCTCTCAAGACCATGCACAGGTTTTTTTTCTTCCCTTTTGCTAAATATACCAAAATAATTACACATTTTACTGGAGCAGGACAACGCTTCTACACCAGCAATTTGTGCTGAGGACTGCACTACAGAGGTCATTGGGGTTTTCCACTTTTATTTCCATTTGCTTGCATGATGGTACTTTGTACACTTCTTTGAGAAGCAACGCAGGATTTAAAGAAGTTGTTTATTAATTGAACAGCAGTTTGGCTTTTTGGGCAAGACAATATGCCTTCTTGCTGGATAATATCTTTCTGTTGGGGAACAAATATCCCTATAGACTCTAAAGAGCTGACTTAAAAAGCTCCACAGGCATGAGGGTTATGAAAACAGCTCAAAATAAGTTCTTTTGACTCTTTTTGCCTGCCACTCACATTTGGTTGAAAACTTTACAGCAAGAGCTTTGTCCGTTTCCATATTCAAAAATTCAGCCCATTAAAATTTCGCTAGAATTTCTACTAATCACAGGCACAATTTTATAATATGGCCAAACCAGTACAACAGCTTCTAGCCCTAAAATGACACACAGTCCCATTTGGCCTGACTCTTGTCCTCACTGATGCTCTCTTGTTTTCTGTGCTGACCTCCTTTAGGGAGCTAAAGTTGCAGAAAACTAAGCCCACAAAAATAATTAAATAAATAAATAGTTTTTTACTGGTTTAACTCCGAGAACCAGCTCAAAGGGGGTCAGATAAGCAGCAGGGAGGAGAAGGAACAACCAGTCCAGCACAAAACATGAAACCACATCCCAAACTACTCTGTCCAGTAGTTTGTTTTATGGGATGACCCCACTTGAACACTGGGATGGATGTCTTCCGCTTAAGCGATGGATGACTCCCACTTAAGGGATTAATTGGGCGCTGTAACTCAAATAACACTAATAATGGTTCCAAAACATACCTAATAGAAATTATCTGTCTCTGTTTACAGTCAGTGACCAGATTGCCTTTTGGGATCAAACCCAAGAATTTTCACTGTTTTTTCCTCTGTTGCTTGATTCCTTCTATATATGGTCCCAAAGTTAGGGTTAGTGCTCTAAAAGCTGCCAGACTAACTTTCTGACTCTTTTTTAGAGGCTAGTACTGCAATTTTTTTTTGCATCTAAATCATAGAATCATAGAATGGTTCAGATTGGAAGGGACCTTAAAGATCATCGACTTCCAACACCCCCCTGCCCTGGGCAGGGACATCTCCCACCGGACCAGGTTTACACCTTCCAAACAAAACTTTCCATGATTAGGAAAAGTAACTGTTTACTACTTAGAATTAAATTTCTTATTTCCTATGTGTTTCATTATGCAATTGAAAAAAAAAAAAAAAAAAGTAAAAATAAGCAAGCACATCAGTGAACACAGCTCCCTCCCCTTCTTCACTCCTCCTCCACCAATTCTTCACACAGATTTATCCATCAGCAGCCCAACAGAACATTGAAGAACACCAAGTAGTGGCCACACAAGCGAAAAATACCCAGGAAAAGGTTTAGGATGTAGAAAGGGGTGTTGTTCAGGAAGAGTAGTTCCAGACAAGTTCTTCTTTCTCCCCAAAACCCTGCAACTTAGTGTCCCAACATACATGTGTATCCACTGTGAAGCTACACGTGTATCTTCTGTGAAGATCGTTGAAAGAAACTAAAGGCAACACTGTAAGAGACGGGAACCAAAGTCACCGAAATGCCCATGACCATGACTCTGGGGGCATTGCCACCACCGCTGCCAAGTACCACCATCGCACAGCAAAGGGACAGCGGAGGGACCATGTCGCAACCCAGCCTTTGTCCCTCTCCCCGCAGCAGAGAAGGTCAGCGCACCTTGGACTCCGGGGGAAGGCTGTCAAGCGCCCCACGGGGTCCCTTCCCCTACACACCAGTAAAGCCCAGCTCTTTAAGCCAACAAAAAACCCAACACTAAACCATATTCCCGAGCACCGTGTCCACTCCTCTTTTGAATACCTCCGGGGATGGTGCCTCAACCACCTCCCTGGGCAGCCCATTCCAAGGCTTAATAACCCTTTCCGTGAAGAAATTGTCCGTAATATCCAATCTGAACCTCCCCTGGTGCAACTTGAGGCCATTTCCTCTTGTCCTATCACCTGTTCCTTGGGAGAAGAGACCGACCCCCCCGGCTACACCCTCCTTTCAGGGAGTTGGAGAGAGCGAGAAGGTCTCCCCTCAGCCTCCTTTTCTCCAGACTGAACACCCCCAGCCTCTCCTCCTTCTCTCCAGACCCCTCACCAGCTCGGTTGCCCTTCTCCAGCCCGTCCGTGTCTCTTTTTTGTGGGTCACTTCCACTCACGCACCCAAACCACTGGGTGCACCCCTTCTTTTGGAGCACCCCCCCTCCCACGCACCCACGGGAAAGGCGAGACCAGCCTCCCCGGGGAGCCCACCCGGGGTGCGGGAGCCCTCACCCGCCG